CTCCTCCATGGCTCCTCCCTCCGTCGGCTCCACCGTGGGTCGACATCATGGCTGTGGCCTGGGTCCTGCTGGGCTCCTCCTGCTCCAAGCCCCGTCTGTCTCCTCCCTGGCTCCTCCCTCCGTCATCTCCTCCCTGGACTCTGTCTGCCGGCCCCCTCCCGGGTGTCCGTCCTCCTCCTGAGCCTCCTCCCTAGTTCCCACCCATTCCCCTCCCCATGTTTCTACGGTGCGAGGACACACCTTCCGAAAGGGGGGAGTAATGTCACGCCCCTGGACTGTTTGTTGTGCTCTGTGACCCAGTTTCTTTCCCATGTGTTCCGCTTCCCAGTTAATTAGTCATTCAGTACACCTGTGTTTGTTAATTATCCCTTGCATTTACGTTCGAGTCTGTGCTGTCTGTCCCTGCCCTGTGTATTTCCTTGGATGTTTGGATTAAAAGACTATTGTTTCGTGTATCCCTGGTCTCCTCGTTCCTCGCTCCATGCCTTAAGGGAAGTGTGACAACTGTGTCCTGTGTTTGTATGCCCTTCTGTCTTTTTTACATTAAAGTACTCAAAGTACTCAATGTGTAAATAATTCATAAAGAGCTTCTTTTAAAATAACAAAGATGAAAGAAAAGTTCTGGAAGTTCTGGGGTAAAATTATTTAAGCTTAGGACAAAAGTAGTTGATACCCACAGGACAGAACTCGATATGCATAATGATGTATAAGAAAAACTCTTTGTGTGTGTGTGTAGTTTCATCGCCCATCAGCTCTGTAATCTTCATTTTGACTGCTGTGTTTGTGGCCGTGATTTTCGTCATCTTGTACAACACCCTTCCATCCTTACACAGGTAAAACCCACAATACATTTACATTTATGCTTTTATGCATCCATCCAAAATTTCAGACATTGAAATCAATATATACATTTAATCAGTTTATACATTCCCTGGAAATCAGTCTTATCTCATTACACTGGTATTGCTACAGGAACGGTCGTTCATATTTGGCTGGTTTTATTTGTGTTTGTTTATTCATGTGTGTAATTCTATAATAGAAGGATCAAGTTGTGGAAGGGATCAATTCCATCGCCCATAAAGAGCAAAGTGCTGGAGGGGATGATGAAGGTGAGCCTTTAACTGATCTTGGAACAGTAAATGTTTAAGGTGAATCTGGAGTTTGATGCACAATATAATTAATATAGTGTTTTCAATTTGTTTTTATTTCAATGTTTTTGTCAAATTTTTTATTTTTTTATTTTATTTTTTTTTACTTCGCTTTATTTAATTTCAGTGTTTCTGGTACACAACAGCTAAAAGGATGGCATATATGCCTTTTTTTATAAGTTTTATAACTAGTAATCCACTCCAAATTACACCTGGTTATATGTATTACATAATTGTTTTTTCTATCGTTCTCTCTTTCAGAAGTCTCCAAGCGGATGGCCAAATCTCCAGAGTGAGAAAGAGTCAACCTCCATCTGTGTACTACTGGCTGCAGACAATGTCAGTCTCTGCAAAAGCAGGTAAGCTATGAATCAAATTATAACATTTTGCAGTAAAAATATTAATTGTCTCCATGAATATCAATATTTTAAATTAGTTTTTATTTTTAGTTTTTCAGTTTTAATTTTAGTTTTAGACATCCTGATGTCTTTTTGTTTAAATTTTTTTTGTTTTTATATTCTGAAGCTTTACTTTATTTACTGTAAATACTTCTTTATATGTTTAAATTATTTTATTTCAGTTTTAGATTTAGTAATTTTTTTGTAAATCAGCTTAATTTCATTTCAGTTAGTTTTTCATGTCATTTATCAATATAAATATAATTTATCCTAACATATGTAATATGTAATTTTTGTAACATTTCGTCCAAATTTTAAATACAAAATCTTATCATTTAGACAAAATAAATGGTCAAAATAACAAACAAAATGCCATGTTTTCAGACATATTCATATTGATTTTTAGACAACTCGATACCAATGCTTTAACTT